CCCTGCACCTTGTTGTCTCGGTGATGGTTGAAGGTTGTTTTTCAGACCAGAGGCCTGTGACTATCGGTGTGCCACAGGGTCAGTGCTGGGACCTTTGTTATTTGTTATTTACATAAATGATCTGGATGTGAATGTACAAGGCATGATTAGTAAGTTTGTGCTTGATACAAAATTAGGAGGTAATGTTGATAGCAAGGACGGTTATCAAAAATTACAAAGGGATCTTGATCAGATGGGGAAGCGGGCTGAGGATTGGCAAATGCAATTCAGTATAGATAAGTATGAGGTGTTGCACCTTCAAAGTCAAACCAAGATAGGACTTATACAGTAAATGGTAAGGTCCTGAGGAGTGTTATGGAACAGAGGGACCGAGGAGTGCAATATAAAGTTTGTTGAAAGTAGCATCTCAGGTAGACAGGGTGGTGAAGAAGGCACTTAGCATGGTGCCCTTCATCAGTTGAGGCATTGAGTAAAGGAGTTGATGAAGCCACATTTGGGAGTATTGTGTACAGTTTTGGTGACCCTGTTATAGGAAAGTCATAGTTAAACTGGAAAGTGTGCAAAGAGGATTTACGAGATTGTTGCTAGGACTAGTAGGCTTGAGTTAATAGGGAGAGGTTGGCTGGGATAGGACTTTATTCCTTGGAACTAAGGAGAATGACCTTATTGAGGTGTATAAAACCATGTTGGGCATAGGTAGCATGAATGCATATAGTCTTTTTCCCAGGGATGGGTAATTGAAAACTAGAGGGCATAGGTTTAAGGTGAGAGGGGACAGATTTAAGAAGGACCTGAGGGTAACTTCTACATGCAGAGAGTGGAACGTATATGGAATGGGCTGCCAGAGAAAGTGGTTCAGCAGGTACAATAACAACATTTAAAAAACATTTGGATAGGTACATGGATGGGAAGGGTTTAGAGGGATATGGACCAAATGCGGACCCTAATGTCAGCATGGACCAGTTTGGACCGAAGAGCCTGTTTTCATGCTGTATTACTCTGACTCTATGAATCTAAGAGTCATATCAAGCTCAAACTCTCCACAGCTTCTCTCTCCACAGATGTTGCCAGAACTGCTGAATCTTTTTTTCTAGCATTCTCTGTGTTTTTTTCAGATTTTGTCAGTATTTTGCTTTTATGTATTATTATAAGGAATGATATTGAATGGAATCTCTCAATAGTGATATTTATGAATTGTTTTCTGAGATTGTTGACTGCTAACAAGTGTATATCAGTGAAGTAGCGGCTCAGTACCTCAAATTCCACTAGCACAAATGATGTTTAGATCCGTCATCATGGATATGAGTTTAGAAAACCTAGGAATGGTAGGAACGAAAGCTGGATGAGGTTGAGTCCTTCAAGTTCTCTGAACCTCATTCAATGAGATTGTGCTGATCTTCTACTTCAACACTATTTTCCTGTATTAACCCCATATTCCCTCGATATTTATTATGTAAAAACCCAGAACATAGTCACTTTTGTCCTTGCAGCATCAGTTGTAACCTACAAATCTTCGTACGTAATTGATGATGTTCCCTGTTCACACAGTTGTTCCAGTTTCCTGGACATTGTACAATCCACAGCTGCCTAGGTCTACAGGGAGCTATTTACACCAGATCAATTTCTGTATAATTTCTTTGGCAGAATTCTTGCACATATGCATGAATTATCAGAAAACACACAGTTTAGAGTTCCAAGTTCAAAAATGGGAAAAATTGAAATCCTATTTAATCCACTATCTGTGTACTAACAGGAATTACATTTCCATGCCTCTTATTTTAGAACTAACTAGCTTTCAATGTTTGTGCTAAAATCTACTGGAATTTTAAGAATTTTTGCCTTGATTCTGAAAAGATTCTTGTTATGTTATAGCATAATACACTTTAAACCCAACAAACATAACCCGTCTGTCAAAGTATTTGACAAAGTATTAAACCAACATGTTAAACTTTTAGGAAATTATTGATTCGCTTCTCCAGGATCATCAAATAGCAATGATATTAATTCCATATTCACACCTACACATTGTATCAATATGTAGTAAATAATAGAACTGTCGGAGTGATTATAAGAATTGATATTTGTTTGCAGAAGCGTTACAAAAAATTTAGAATGAGTTACAGTTGAAAGAGTAACATGAATAATATTTTTCAGGATTCACTCTCATGTTCTTCATGGCCCACATCCTCAGGCCTAAAGTGGGAGAAGCGCTGGTGTGATCTACGGCTAATCCCCCTTCTTCATTCTCGTTTGTCACATTATATTCCAGGAACTGATATTGTCAGGTAATGATTCATATTATTATTTATTTACAGTGAGTTAACAATTGGTACTTATCATCGAGGTGCCCAAGTATATTTATCATTTAAATATGTAATAAGTCTTCTTTTCCAGGATTAAACTATGGCTTGAATTTTGTTTCTGATGCTGTGACTGCCACTAATTTTGCAGGAGCAAGGCTTATTATTTATGCAGTGTGGACAACATCTATGCCTGCATGGCCCTGTCATTGCTGGCCAGATAAGCGCAACAGTCTCTCTGCAGCATGAAAAGTTATCAATAAAGGGGCAAAAAAAAAACTCTGAAAGTGGAGTTAAAATTGAATCAGAGATAGTAGGAACTGCAGATGCTGGAGAATCCGAGACAACAAGGTGCGGAGCTGGATGAACACAGCAGGCCAAGCAGCATCATAGGAGCAAAAAGGCTGACGTTTTGGGCCCAGACCCTTCATCAGAAATGGGGGAGGGGAAGGGGGTTCTGAAATAAATAGGGAGAGAGGGAGAGGCGGATAGAAGATGGATAGAGGAGAAGATAGGTGGAGAGGAAACAGACAGGTCGAAGAGGCGGGGATGGAGCCAGTAAAGGTGAGTGTAGGTGGGGAGTTAGGGAGGGGATAGGTCAGTCCAGGGAGGACGGACAGGTCAAGGGGGGGGGAGGGGGTTTGTAGGTAGGGGGGGGGGGTGCGGCTTGAGGTGGGAGGAGGGGATAGGTGGGAGGAAGGACAGGTTAGGGAGGCGGGGACGAGCTGGGCTGGTTTTGGGATGTGGTAGGGGGAGGGGAGATTTTGAAGCTTGTGAAGTCCACATTGATACCATTGGGCTGCAGGGTTCCCAAGCGGAATATGAGTTGCTGTTCCTGCAACCTTCAGGTGGCATCGTTGTGGCACTGCAGGAGGCCCAGGATGGACATGTCGTCTGAGGAATGGGAGGGGGAGTTGAAATGGTTCGCGACTGGGAGGTGCAGTTGTTTATTGCGAACCGAGCGTAGGAGTCCTGCAAAGCGGTCCCCGAGCCTCCACTTGGTTTCCCCGATGTCGAGGAGGCCACAACGGGTACAGCGGATGCAGTATACCACATTGGCAGATGTGCAGGTGAACATCTGCTTGATGTGGAAAGTCTTGTTGGGGCCTGGGATGGGGGTGAGGGAGGAGGTATGGGGGCAGGTGTAGCACTTACTGCGGTTGCAGGGAAATGTGCCGGGTGTGGTGGGGCTGGAGGGGAGTGTGGAGCGGACAAGGGAGTCATGGAGAGAGTGGTCCCTCCGGAAAGCAGATAAGGGTGGGGAGGGAAAGATGTCTTTGGTGGTGGGGTCGGATTGCAGATGGTGGAAGTGTCGGAGGATTATGCGTTGGATCTGGAGGTTGGTGGGGTGGTACTTGAGGACGAGAGGGATTCTTTCTTGGCTGTTATTGCAGGGACAGGGTGTGAGGGATGAGTTGCGGGAAATGTGGGAGACATGGTTGAGGGCGTTCTCGACCACTGAGGGGGTGAAGTTGCGGTCCTTGAAAAACAAGGACATCTGAGATGTACGGGAGTGGAATGCCTCATCCTGGGAGCAGATGCGGCAGAGGCGAAGGAATTGGGAATAGGGGATGGGATTTTTGCAGGAAGTGGGTGGGAGGAGGTGTATTCTAGGTAGCTGTGGGAGTCAGTGGGCTTGAAATGGATATCAGTTTCAAGGTGGTTGCCCGAGATGGAGACAGAGAGGTCCAGGAAGGAGAGAGAGGTATTAGAGATGGTTCAGGTGAACTTAAGGTTGGGGTGGAAGGTGTTGGTGAAGTGGATGAACTGTTCGAGCACCTCGTGGGAGCACGAGGCGGGCCGATACAGTCATCAATGTAACGGAGGAAGAGGTGGGGTTTAGGGCCAGTGTAGCTACGGAAGAGGGATTGTTCCACGTAACCTACAAAGAGGCAGGCATAGCTTGGGCCCATGCAGGTATCTATGGCCACCCCCTTTGTCTGTAGGAAGTGGGAGGAATTGAAAGAGAAGTTGTTGAGGGTGAGGACGAGTTCGGCTAAGCGGATGAGGGTGTCAGTGGAGGGGGACTGGTCGGGCCTGCGGGATAGGAAGAAGCGGAGGGCCTTTAGACCATCTGTATGAGGAATGCAGGTGTATAGGGATTGGACGTCCATGGTAAAAGTGAGGTGTTGGGGACCGGGGAATTGGAAGTTCTGGAGGAGGTGGAGGGCGTGGGTGGTGTCACGGACATAAGTAGGGAGTTCCTGGACCAAGGGGGAGAAAATGGAGTCCAGATAGTTGGAGATAAGTTCGGTGGGGCAGGAGCAGGCGGAGACAATGGGTCGACCAGGGCAGTCGGGTTTGTGGATTTTGGGAAGGAGATAGAAGCAGGCGGTGCGGGGTTGGGGAACGATGAGGTTGGAGGCCGTGGTGGGAGGTCACCTGAGGTGATGAGGTTGTGGATGGTTTGGGAGATGATGGTTTGGTGCTCGGGGGTGGGGTCATGAAGTGGAGACCACTTTGTAGAGCACCTGCGCTCTGTTCGCGACAAACGGCAACACCTTCCAGTCGCAAATCACTTCAACTCCCCCTCCCACTCCCTGGGTGACATGTCCATCCTGGGCCTCCTCCAGTGCCACAATGACGCCACCTGGAAACTGGAGGAACAGCACCTCATATTCCGTCTTGGGAGCCTACAACCCAATGGTCTCAATGTGGACTTTACCAGTTTCAAAATTTCCCCATCCTAGGCCTCATCCCATGACCTCTCATCCTTGCCTCCTTGACTTGACACAATCTGTCAGTCTTCTCTCCCACCTATCCGCTCCTCTCACCTCACTGACCAATCCCCACCACTGCCAACCTGCACTCATCTATCACCATCCCACCACCTACCCAAGCCCCATCGCTCCTCTCTCTATTTATTTCAGAGCTCCCTTCCCCCTCCCCCATTTCTGAAGAAGGGTCCTGACCCGAACGTCAACTTTCTGGCTCCTCTGATGCTGCCTGGCCCGCTGTGTTCCTTCAGCTCCACCATGTGTTATCTCTGACTCCAGCATCTGCAGTTCTTACCATCTCTGAAAGTGTACTCATGTTGTGGACCTAGGCAGAACCACAGCTTTATTGTGCAGTTATGAAAGGTTCTAATAGGCCACATCCTTCACTATATTTGAACTGTGGCTGCCCTACCAAGATTTGCTGCTACCTTTCTCCAGATAGTCTTAGCAGCAGCAAGAAAAGGAATATGTGGAAGGGAAATCTGAAACCAGAATCCCACCTACCAGATGAGAGGAAATTAGCAGCAAATTTAGTGGAAAGCAAAAAAAAACCTTTGCCAGGGTGTGGAGTCAGTGGCAGTCCTCAATGTCTCATTTTCTACAATTTTGGCATCAATTTCATTTGATTTTGGGTGGAATGACTGGAGAATGAATGAATGTCTGCAAGCTGAACAGAGTGCGTGATCATTTCTGGTAAAATTAGCTTTCACATCTTTGACAATTAGTTTCAGTCTTACATCAAAAAAAGCTAAAAAAAATCAATACTCTGCACTGGATTTAAGTCAGTTGAATGATTGAAAATTGAATGGATTGGCCTGAGATAGATACAGAGCGTAAATAGAAATCACATCCTGTGTAAACTTCATTCAAAAGTGAAAATTCTGACCAGTATTACAGTGACCAGTACATTACAGGTAAATATTAGACAGTGTTTCTCTTCATATGTTTTATAATATTTTCAGCAAAATGCATTTCAAGTAATTGCTGTGAATGAAGAGTGTGGTTGTGCCACTTGGACATTTTACAACCTCTAGGTTGCAGTATTGAATTTCACAACTTCAGAGCTTTTGACATTATGTCTGTTCTGTGTTTCGCTTGCACCAACATCACTAATACCCCCACCCCAAATCGGCCTTTCTTATGTGTTTTGTTCATTTTGCTCTCAGTAGAGAGGCCCCATTCTCTTCCTTTCACACTTTAATTTACACTAATTTACAGCTCTAATCCTCTTTCACTACTTTTAACAACCCCTTTGTCTTTTATACTATATGTTCCCTTCGCCCTTCTCTGCCTCCATCCAAAATATAAAGAAAAACTTTTTCCTGCTCCTTTCAGTTCTGAAGAACCATTATACCACACTCAAAACGTTAACTGTTTCTCTCTCCACAGATTCTAGTGAGCAGTGGAATTTTCCAGCATTTTCTATGTTTGTTTCAGATTTCCAGCATCCACAGAATTCTGCTTTCATTCATTATTATAAGGAATGGTATTAGAGGGAATCTCTTAACAGTGTCATTTCTAAATTAAAGGTAGATTTTCTGAGTGAATTCTTAATTTCTATCAAAGAATAAAGAACAATACAGCACAGGATCAAGCCCTTCAACCCACCGATTCCTAATCCTTATTTAAACCTGCTACTTATTGCCCATATATGGTTTTTGTACACACCCCCTGTTGTTAGCCACTAACAGTCCCCATTAACAACTATTCACCCTCCCAGCCTGATTGTTAGCAACTCCTTTGTCTGTCCAACTGTCTTTCTTTCTCTTTGGGCCCTATCCTATCGTTTACTCCCTACCCCACCCACCTCCCTATTTTCTGCATATAAACTGATGTTTTCCCAGCCACCATCAGTTCTGAGGAAGGGTCACCAGACCCAAAACGTTAAATCTGTTTTTTCCCTTCACAGATGCAGCCAGACCTGCTGGGCTTTTCCAGCAACTTTGTTTTTGTTCCTGATTTACAGCATCCGCAGTTCTTTTGGTTCTTATTGTATATGGTTTCTGTCCATCTGTTTGCCTCCGTTCACGTGTCTATCACGTTATGCCTTAAATGTTGCTAACGTTCTATTTCCACCTCCTCCACTGCAGTGTTTTCAAGGCACCCACCACCCTTGTGAACTATTAGTTCAGTGCCTCAATTTTCCAATAAGCACTGGTGATTATTGAGATCCATCATCATGGGCAGAAATTTTAAAAATCTACTTTTTATTTCTTTTATTGAATCTTCAAAAGTTCTGTCATAAAAAATTGGAAATGAAATGGGTTGGGGTTGAGATCAATATAATGGGGTAGATAGAGGTCCCATCCTGTGTAAACATCATCCAAAAGTGAAATAAGATCCGAAAGAACTGTGGATGCAGTTTTTTCCTTCACAGATGCTGCCAGACCTGCTGAGCTTTTCCAGCAACTTTGTTTTTGATCCAAAAGTGAAAGTTCTGGGCCAGTATCTCTAAATATTTGCTGATGCTACAGATTATTGTTCAACATTGTTTCTAATTATATGTTTTCTAACATTTTAGGCAAAATGCATTTCAAGTAATTGCTGTCGATGGTGTCTGCAGTGGTGTCATTCAGTGTCTCACTGCTGAAGACTGTATAGATTGGTTGCAAGCACTGGCCATTAATATATCCAACCTTACCAAGCACAATGTAAGTATGGATGCCTGAATGTAAGAAAAAAAATATCGACTTAGCCTTCAAAATTATTCAAAACAGTAGTTTACTATGTGTAACTTCTGCTTTTGGTAATAGTGATATAAAAGATTCACCAGTGGGAGAAAACTGCCTACATTTAGCAATGGCAGAATGAACGTACCACTGGCATGGATGTGATTATTAGCTATTCACTGGTTTTGACAAAAGCTTTAGCTCTAATTACTGTAAATGAAAGGAAACCACTAAAGAACATTTACATAGTTATTTAATGTCTAAATTATAGTGTTCAAGTCGAATAACAGCATATTTAATTATATCCTCAAATCCTCAGATATCTTATAACTATAACTTGAATTGTTTCCTTACAACATTATTTCAAAAGAATAAACACCATCTCACAAATTGCACCATCTCTTATCTACACAACCACATAGAATGAGCAGAAAATAATCTTCCTGCCACAGATTCCAAATGGAACTAATCACAAAACATTCTGTGTTCATGAATGATAATGACATGCTAAACAAGTAAAATGACCTTCCCACCATTCTGGGTTGGCTTTTCCATTTGGTTTGATGCATGCCGCTAGAATAATTTGAGCTTTCGATCCTGACATTAGAGATCTATAAAAACAATGTGGAAAGAGCAGGGCCTACTAGCGACTAAGGGGGCAATCTGTGCATGGAGCCAGAGGACATTGGCAGGGTATTAATTATGTTGCATCTATCTTAACTTTGGAGGAGGATGTTGGTACAGTTTGTTGTATTGCACAGCAATGGCTCATTGGTCTGGGGGTATGATACACACTTTGGGGGGTATACATTTCAGACATGTGGGAGGTCCTAGGTTCAAATCCTGGAGAAGTCCTGATTGCTTGACTTCAGTTTTGGGTGGCATGATGGCTCAATGGTTAGCTCTGCTGCCTCAGAACTCCAGGGACCCTCAATTCCAACTTTGGGGACTGTGTGAAGTTTGAAACATTTGCCCCATCGGTTTTTGCCAGATGCTCTGGTTTTTTTCCCACAGCCCAAAGATATGTAGGTTAGATGGAATGGCCATGCTAAGATGTTCCTTGGTATCCTGGGATGTGCAGACTAGGTGGATTATCCATAGTAAATGTGGTGTTGCAGGGGTGGGGCATGGTCTGAGTGGGATCCTCTTTGCAGGGTCTGTGCAGACTTATGGGCTAAATAGCCTGTATCTGCACTTTAGGGATTCTATGGTTAAATGATTCTACAGAATTCTGGAAAAGGGACTGTGAGGTTCTTGAACAGTTTGATGTCAGGAGTGAGGCGATCTTGGAGATTTTGGCAGGCTTAAAAGTAGACAAATCCCCAGGTACAGATAAGTTGTATCCCAGGCTTCTATAGGAGACATGGAAATTACAGGGGCTCTCACCCAAATTTTTTATTCCTCTTTGGTCACAAAAGAGGTGCAAGTGGACTGGAGGACAGCTAATGTGGTTCTATTTTTCAAGAAGGGTGGTAGAGGTAAACGAGAAAATTAGTGGTAGGGAAACTATGGAGAAAATTCCAAGTGGCGAGTTTGATCAGGGACAGTTGGCATGGCTTTGTCAAAGGGTGGTCATGCCGAAGAAATTTGGGAGATGTTTTCAAGGAGATAACAGTTGTATAGTTGAAGGTAGTGCTGTTGATGTATTTTATATGGATTTCAGCAAAACCTTTGACTGGGACTCACATGGGACACCCAATAAAGAAGTTAAAAGTGCGTGGGATCCAGGGTAACTTGGCAAGTTGGATCCAAAATAGGCTTAGTTGCAGGAGACAGAACGTGGTGGTAGGCTGTTTGTGTGACAGGAGGCCAGTTTCCAGTGGCATAACACAGGATCAATGCTGTGTATGAAATTGTTTGTGCATATAAACAATATAGAAGAAAATGTGGGTGGAAGGAGGGAATGATAAGTAAGTTTGTGGATGACGTGTAGATTGATCATGTGGTTGACAGTGAGGAAAAGGACTTAAGTTACAAGAGGATAGAGACAGATTGCTCAGATAGGCAGATCAGTGACAGATGGAAGTAAACTTTGATAAGTGTGCAGTGATGCACTTTGGAATAAATAACAAGTCAAAGAACATAGAACAGTACAGGACAGTACAGGCCCTTCGGCCCATGATGTTGTGCCATCCTATTATCCTACTAAGATCAAACTACCCTGCATACCCTACATTATACAATCATCCATGTACCTATCCAAGAGTCGCTTAAAAGCCTCTAAAGTATCTGACTCCACTAGCACTGTCGGCAGTGCATTCCACACACCCACCACTCTCTGTGTAAAGAACCTACCTCTGACATCTCCCCTATACCTTCCTCCAATCACCTTAAAATTATGCCCCCTCATAATAGTCATTTCCGCTCTGAGAAAAAGTCTTTGGCTATCCACTCTATCTATGCCTCTCACAATCTTGTACACCTCTAAACGTCACCTCCCATCCTTCTTCGCTCCAAGATAAAAGCCCTACATCCCTCAACCTTTCCTCATAAGACCTGCCCTCCAGTCCCAGCAGCATCCTGGTAAATCTCCTCTGCACCGTCTCTAAAGCTTCCACATCCTTCCTATCATGGGGCGACCAGAACTGAACACAAGACTCCAAGTGTGGTTTAACCAGGGTTTTATAGAGCTGCGGCATAACCTCGTGCCTCTTAAACTCAATTCTCCTGCCAATGAAAGCCAACACACCATACGCCTTCTTTACAACCCAATCAACTTGGGTAGCAACTTTGAGGGATCTATGGACGGGGTCCCCAAGATCCCTCTGTTCCCACTGCCAAGAATCCTGCCATTAACCCTGTATTCTGCATTCAAATTCGACCTTCCAAAATGAATCATTTCACACTTTTCTGGATTGAATTCCATCTGCCACTTCTTTTCCCAGCTCTGCATCCTGTCAATGTCCCGTTGCAACCTACAACAGCCCTCCACGCTATCCATAACTCCACCAACCTTCATGTCATCAGCAAACTTACTAACCCGCCCTTCCACTTCCTCATCCAAGTCATTTATAAAGATCACAAAGAGCAGAGGTTCCAGAATAGATCTCTACGGAACACCACTGGTCACCGAGCTCGAGGCTGAATACTTTCCATCTACTACCACCCTCTGTCTTCTATTGAACAGCCAGTTTTGTATCCAGACAGCCAAATTTCCCTGAATCCCATGCCTCCTTACTTTCTGAATGAGCCTACCAAGGGGAACCTTATCAAATGCCTTTCTAAAATCCATATACCCAATCCACTGCTCTGCCTTCATCAATGTGTTTTGTCACATCCTCAAAGAATTCAATAAGGCTTGTGAGGCATGACCTGCCCCTCACAAAGCCATGCTGACTATTTCTAATCAAACTGTGCTTTTCCAAATAATTATAAATACTATCCCTCAGGATGCTCTCCAATAATTTGCTCACCACAGAAGTAAGACTGACTGGTCTGTAATTCCCAGGATTATCCCTATTCCCTTTCTTGAACAAGGGAATGACATTTGCCACCCTCCAATCATCGGGTACTACTCTAGCAGACAGTGAAGACGCAAAGATCATCTCCAAAGGGGCAATAATCTCTTCCCTCACATCCCATAGTAACCTTGGGTATATCCCGTCTGGCCCAGAGGACTTATCTATCCTCATGTTTTTCAAAATTTCTAGCACATCCTCCTTCCTAACATCAACCTGTTCGAGCATATCTGTCTGTTTCATGCTGACCTCACAAACGTCAAGGTCCCTCTCATTGGTGAATACTGAAACAAAGTATTCATTCGGGACCTTCCCTACCTCCTCTGACTCCGTGCACAAGTTCCTTCCACAATTCCTGATTGGCTCTACCCTCACTCTGGCCTTCCTCCTGTTCCTCACATAAGCATAGAACACCTTGGGATTTTCCTTGATCCTACTCGCCAAGGTTTTTTCATACCTCCTTCTGGCTGTCCTGCGTCCATTCTTCAGTTCCTTCCTGGCTACCTTGTAGACCTCTAGACCCCTGTCGATCCTTGCGCCCTCAACCTTAAGTAAGCTTCCTTCTTCCTCTTGAGTACAAGGGAGTGTGTAATGAATGGAAAGACAGTAGAAAGTTCAGATGGATCTTGGATGCTTGCCCAAAAATCCCTGAAGGCTGTAGGATAGGTTAATAGGTTAGTTAAGGCATACAGGACACTTGCCTTTATCAGTTCAGGCATAGATTATAGAGCAGGGAGGTTTTGGTGGGGCTGTACAAACCTTTGATTGGGCCATAGCTGGAGTACTCCGTGCAGTTCTGGTCATCCACTATTGGAAAGATTTGATTGTACTGGAGGGGGTGCAGAGAAGATTTACCTGAATGTTGCCTGGGGAGGAACACTTTAGCTATGAAGAGAAAAGTTGGGTGTTTTCTTTCGAGCTGAGAAGGGGATTTGATAGAGGTGTCTCGGATTATGAGGAGCATGGACAGGGTGGATAGAAAGCAGCTGGTCTCCTTAGTTGAAGGGTCAGGAACAGGGGACGTAACTTAGTTAAAGGTAAGATGTTTAGGTTGGATTTGAGGAAAATCTTTTCACATAGAGGGTGGTGGGAGTCTAGAATCACTGCTTGAGGGTAGTTGAAATCGAAACCTCACAACCTTTACTTGGATGGGAACTTGAAATATCATAATATTCAAGGCTATGGGCTGAGAGCTGCAAAGTGGGACGAGTGTAGATTTGGAATAGTTTTTGTTGGTGTAGACTCGATGGGCTGAAGGGCCTCTTCTGGAGGGTATGTTTCTATGATCTAGCACGATTCATTATCGCTGCTTCATTCCACACTCTACCAGCCAGTATTAAATTCCACTGTGACTATTCAATCCTTCACAAGCTGCATACGTTAACCACAGATACCACTGTATGATACCTCAATTCTGCTTGATGAAGCTAGCTCTTAAAGACCTTGGCCAATATCAATTTAAACCATCTCAATTCAGTTCATGTCTTATCCACAGCATTAAACTGACCAAGTCAGATTTTAATTGAAACATATTTAACAAAGTTGGTGTGAAATGTCTCAGGGACTGACAGCACGCACTAATGTAAAGTAAAATGTGTTCCTTCAGGAAACAGTTTGGTTGATTGCGTTTTAAATGCCTCTAAGCTATATCTGATTACTGGCTTAGTAATATTTAATGGCACCATTGAGTAAAAGTTAAAAATAATCAATTCCCAAATTTGTGAACCCATACCCGAGAGATTGAAAACAATATTTTAACATGCAGTTGATAGTATACAGGTTCCCTGCTGAAACTCCAGTTACACAACAATTTTTTAAAATCAATTTAATATTTGTACAGAGGGTAGTTTGAATAAACCCATCTGAGTGTGATTAATTTATAAATGTGGGACTACAATGACCACCTTTCATAATGTTTCCAATTACTTTATCATCTTAGGACAGAGTTAATATCATTCAAAATGTTCCCAAAACTTAAATTGCAAACTAAAATGAAATATAGTTTAACTTTTTCTGATTAGAATGGGCTTGTGGAAATGTGTGGAGCTCCTACTGTTCTTTGTCTAGTTTTTAAATCTCTGGTATTGTTGTATTGCAGTCTGTGCTACTTTTTATGTAAAAATAGACCTATTTTTAAATCTATTTTTAGCCCCTTTCCTTACATTAGGAAAACGGGGAATGTAAATGTAAAGATTAAATGCTTCCAAATCACTGAGAAGTTGACTGTAAAAAGATTTCAGTATTAGGAGGTTCAAGAAAGAGGGACATTTAAGGGGTTCTTACATAGTTTTATGGATGCTTTCAGAAGCATCAAAGCATCTAAGTTTTATCTGCAGGATCCTATGATAATTGTCAACAGGTCATCCCGATAAAATAAGTAATGGGAAGCAGTGTTAAAGTTCACAAGTAGGTATTCTATAATTGTACTGGTATTAGATGAAAGGAGATAAAGCAGATAGTTTGACATTTGCTGATCAGACGCTGCCAGCTACATCGTACACTCACACCTTCTGTAGGCTTCAGACTATCTGTCAGTATTGCACATCACTGCAATCAGCACTGTATATACAGTAATGCCACTCTCATTAATGCCCGCTTCTTTTCTGTATGCACACCTCCTATATTTACATAAGAATCATCTTTAGTATCATCAAATAGGTCACTGCTATATTGTTCTGCATGATTGATAGTTCATGCTCGTTTCCCATTGGGAAATACCACGTTCATTTATTCATGAGAACAGAATTTTGCTGACATACATGTAACTCCAGCAGTATCAGGTTTTTCATACTTCTCTGGTGTGGTTGTACTGTCATCTGCCAATGATACCCTCTCACATTCACTAATAGCACACTAATAACAATATGTTGGAGTGATATGGGGTGCAGTCTTCTTTTGGGCTACTTGCAAAGCCATCATCTTTCTTTCCTAAGCCTACACCGACTCAATGGGTTCAGGATACATATTCAATTGGTGTAGATTTTACAATGTTATGCTTGATGTTTGATTATTTGTTTATATGTTTGTATGAGAACAGGTAATAAGAAAAGCAAGACATAAAACCTGCAGTTGTTTTAAATGGTGTGAGCTTCATTGGCAAAGCATATATTGCCATTTCCTTGATGTCAGCTGTCTTCCTGAATTGCTATTCGGTATAGACAAAACGACAGTTTTGTTCGGGAGGGAGTTCCAGATATTTGACGAGCAGCAGTGAAGGAATGGTAACAGAATTCCAAGCAAAACATTCCCTCCAAGATGCACATGCCAATTACTGCACCAACACATAGCTCTGACTCGCAGGAGCAGCTGCTGTGGGCATGGACTGCAGCGAAATGAAAAAATATGAACAGAGCATCGGTTCCACATCAGGTGTATAACTCGGAGGAAAACTTGCACGTGGAGGTATTCCTGTGCAAGTGTTGTCCTTATCCGATGAGATGCTAGAGATCGCGGATGTTGAAGGTGCTTTGATGAGTTGCTTCACTGCATCTTATAGACGGTACACACTGCTGCCACTGTGCACTAGTGAAGAAGACATTGAATGCTTAAGGTCATAGATTGGCTGCCTTTCAAGCAAGCTCACACAATGTCGCCGAAGCTACTCCTGTCAAAGCAAGGAAGAATACTTCATCAAATGCCTTGTAAATAATGACAAGGCACAAAGCAAGATGGTTGTTGGAGATCAGTCATCTAGGCTGCAGTACATCTCTGCAGGAGTTCCTCAGATTAGTGTCCTAGGCCTAGGCATCTTCAACTGCTTCATCAATGAACTTCGCTCCATCATAAGGTCACAATTGAGGAAATTCACTGTGATTGCGTAATGTTCAGCATCATTCATGACTCCTCGGATACTGAAGAACTCCATGCCCAAATGCAGCAAGACCTGGACAAAATCCAGGCTTGAGATAAAAAAAGTGGCAAGTAACATTCATGCTACACAAATGCAAGGCAATGACATTCTCCAATAAGAAACCATCTAATCATCTCCCCTTGACATTGAATGGCATTATCGTCACTGAATCCTGCACTATTAACATCTGGGGGGTTACCATTGACCAGAAACAGAACTACACAAGTCATATAAATGCTGCGGCTACAAGTGCAAATCAGAATTAGGAACCCTACAGTGAGTAACTCAACATCTTCGTGCCCAAAGCCAGTCCACCATATAGGAGGCACAGTTCAAGAGTGTGATGGAATACTCCCTACTTGCCTTGATGTGTGCAGCTCGAATAACATTAAAGAAGCTTGACAGTATTCAGAACAAAGCAAACAGCTTGATTGGCAGCAGACACCACAACATACACTCCCTCCACCACTGACCCTCAGTAACAGTCGTGCATACTGCCCACAAGATGCACTGCACCGCACTAAAACTTCATCGAAGGCCCTTAGACAGCAGCTTCCAAATGCACGACCACATTCATCTTGAATGTCAAGAACAGCAGATAAATGGGAACACCACCACCTGCATTCCTCTCCAAGTCGCTCACCATCCTGACTTGGAAATGTATTACTGTTCCTTCACTATTGCTTGGTGAAAATCCTAAGTACATTGTGGGTCAACCTACAGCACATCAACTGTAGATTGGCACCACCGTCTCCAGGGCAAATTGGAATGAACAATAAATGCTGGCCCACGTGGTGACCCACACATTGCATAAGTGAATTTAAAAAATTAAAATTCTTTGGGAATCAGGAGGTAAGCTGTTGCCCAGAGAATTTACAGTCTCTAGAGCTATATGAGTAGAAAATAAAATTAATACACTGGTTCCATTAAGCTTCTAGTCAATCATAATCCCAGGGTGTTGATGGTAGGCAATTCAGCAATAGCAGTGCCACTAAATATAAATAGGAGGTTGTTTGATGCATTTGTTGAATATGGTCATTGCCTGACACTCATGTAGGATAAATATTACTTGCTGAATTGCCATCTCAGTCTTTTTACATGACTACTTCCGTATCTGAGGCCTCACAAATGGTACTGAACACTCTGCGATTCTTGATAAACATCCTCACTTCTGACCTTATGCTGGAAAGAAGGCCTGAGGAACTGTTGCAGAAATGTTATGGATTTGAACTGATTAGTCTCCAAGAACCTTAATCATGTTTCATTGTGCAATTTCAACCAAGACAATGTTTCTCTACAATTCCTATTAACTTCAGTTTTGCTTGGGCACTTTGAAGAGTAGATTCAAGGGGTGGCAAATAATTAGGTTGGATTTGTCCTGAGTTTTGTGGATGCTCCTGAGCATTTGTTTTTCATATTTTCAGATAAATTCTGGTGTTGTAGGGGCATCAGAATAGATTGTTCAGAATGTTGTTAAATTCTGGAGCACAAGGCCTAAATACTACAGTTGAGTTGTTGTCAGGGCCAATGGTCTTTCTTGTGTCGGTGACTTCAGTCATTTCTCAATATCATGTAGAATTAATCAAATTGGCTGAAGAGAAGCATCTGTGATGCTGGGGACCTTAGGAAGAGCCTGAGATGGATCATCCACTTTCCACTTCTAACTGATGTAAATATTATGTGAATGAACTTCAGTTAACAAGATTTTTTTGCTGTGCTGCTTTGCTATTTTATTCACAAATTAATAATTCTAATTCAATATTTTCCCTCAGATTAAAAAGATAAACAGGAATTTTCCTGTAAATCAACAGGTAAGTTGAAACATTTAATAAAATCGTTGCCAAATTTGTCAATCAGGTTCACTATATTTTGAATGTGCTTTTAACCTTTGCAGTAAAATGTCCTTGAAATAAATGCTAATAGCCAATAATGATTCCCTATGTGCATTAATTGCTAATAATATGATTATCAATATCATTAATGAAGTTATTCAAGGGATCATTCATTTGGACTGCACCACCAAATAATCTTTTGGGTACTGAATATTTTCTGCTATTTTAAGTATATCTTCATATTCTTTGGTAAGTTAAAATTCACATAGAATAAAAATTGGAATAAACTAATTTTTTTGGTTAGATTCAGTGAATCCTATATTCAAATGCATTTAATCAAGTGTTAAATTTATCAAGGGAGTATGCAATTAAAAAGAACTGGTAATTATAAGTAAAATTGCCAAGAAATGACAGACAAAATCTAATAGGGAATTAAATGTGATCTAAAATATAGGTTTATAACATTTATACATGTGTTTACACTGAGAGTTCCATCACTAGCAAAAGTAGAAAATGAAAAGAAGATAGCAATGTGGCATTATTGACTGAGAAGCTGCTGCCAACAAGGCTTGTTGAATGTATGTATGGGTTCATTTTGAGATTGTTTGTTCTACAGTCAAAGTTATTGAAACCTTGTATAGATCATTTAGAATGCAACATCAGCCAGTTTTGGAGTAGCGAACCTCAAGAGCATTGATGCATTGATGAAGGTTTGGAAAAGAGCTAGAAGAATAATTTCAAAACAAACTCAACATTATGACTTTCACAAGAGGTGAATTTCCATCTGACTAAAAAGATGGAGAGTCATGATCTAATTATTTAAAAAGTACAAAAAGGCAGTTGAGACATAGAGATAAAACACACAGTGTATACACTAGACAGAGTTGTAACTGAGATCAGAAGTTAGTCTTTTGTTCCCTTCATAAATTGTAAGTTTTCCAGACAGGAACCTAGGACATAATTTTCCATCATTGCTGATGTGAGGGCAGGCAGTCCAAAGACATGCAGGTTAGGTTGATTGGCCATGGGAACTGCAGTGTTACAGGGATAGGAAAGGGGGTTGCGTCTGAGTGGACTGCATTTCGCAGGGTAGGTGTGAACTCGAAGGGCTGAATGGCCTGCTTCCACACTGTAAGGATTCTATGATGTTAAGCGTCAACTAAATTGTTGCCCTACTGCCAAAAGAACTTGCTGTATAAAATGCTAATCAGCTTGTTAAGAACTGACTAGCTCACCAGTCATTGGTATCAGATCTGAGGCAAACAGTATCTTCATCCTAAAGACCATGGCAATCAAGGCCTATTCTTCAGGGGATCCAACAATGAGAAAGTCAATATTTTTCTTTTGCTTCTGTGAGTTGGGGATTGAAGTGAGAGGGGATTCAAAGAGGTCAGAGGCAAAGGTAGGATTGTGGCTTTTGGAGAGCCCCTTCCTTGTTCCAATCTCTGTCTCTGATTGCCTGCAGATTGGGGCAAATGGAAGCCATTGTAGCTGTCAATTGACTACTTAAGGGGCTTAATTTCTGACAAGTCAAGAAAGTCCGTAATGGACATTCGTGTCCAACATTTAATTGGTAAGGTGGTGACAAGGGTGTGTGTATATCTCCCCAGGGCCAACTTACCCAGTGATATCCCCTTTTTGCCATCTCTTTTGTTCAACCACTAGGATTGGAAAAAAAATCGCGACAGTAACTAATTGTTTGTTGAGGAACTGCTTCACACCAGAATTACATAATTCTGAGTGGAAATGTGATCAAAGGTAACAGGTCAAATTGTAGAGCTCTTTTAAAAATATAATCAAGTAGTTTGTATATTACAATCTTTACTGTGTTGTCATAACCAAGAAAATGTACTTTGGAAGAATACTTGTGGAAAAAATACTAGCTGGCCAGAGTTGAATATTGTGGAAAAAAAAAACGATTGACCAAATACTTTGGTATTTTACTTCAATCAGTGTGGGGTTCATGAGGAATTCTGCAGAACTTTTCACTCAGGCAACAACAGAAGAGGTTGAAGTTCATGATAGATTTAAATCTATGTGGTCAATGAAAGAATTAATAGGAAATAAATTCTGTTTGAACATGGGTGTTGCTGTCTAGCCCAGTATTTAGTTCCCATCCCTAACTGGTCTTGAGAAGGTAGTGGTGGTGAGCTGCTTTCTTGAACCACTGCAGTCCATTTGGTGTAGGTAGACCCACAATGCCATTTTAGGGAGGGAATTCTGGGACATTAGCCCAGCAACACTGAAGGTACAGCGATTTATTTCCACATCAGGATGTTGATTATTTTGGAGGGCAACTTGTAGGTGGTTGTGTTTTGACTCCCAATTGCTCAGTGTAACCCATTGATCAGTCTGTGCTGTTGTATTTTTTTCATTTGATTATAATATTGATATACTGTCCGCATTTGTGCATATGCCATCAATTTTATCTAGTGGAAATGGCCTGTGACCTAACAGCATGACAAATTTATATTAGTGTTTTATATCCTTCTTGGGAAAACATTATTACAATTCTAAATCAAAGTAGGCTTTTAAATAAAGCTATTGATCAAATCCTGCAGGTGTGCTTCACATGAAAAATCTAACTTCCAGAATCTTTATTAAGAGTTTATGCAAGCAATTTTTAGTATTTTGCTGTGCAATTTTAAAGGAGGGAAATATTGTATGAAAACTGCTTTTTGTTTAACATACTTCCCTAAAGTGTGTCAAAACTATAATTAGGAAATGTTGGTTATCTTTTGAAAAAAAAAACAAGATTATTTATCCCTGTTGTAAGTGTACATTTCAAGGAGAAACATTTGCATCCTTGAGTAACTTTGGAATATAGTTGAGCACATCACAACCTATAAACCCAGGAAAGGCATGCTGCAAAAGAAGCAGCAACCTATGATCATTCTTAAGATAGTTTTACAATTGTGTTTTTGTTTAGAGCTGCTTGTAAGAGTTATCACCAAATCACATTCCTGGACTTGACTGAAATAGGAGCAGGAGTAGGCCATTTTGCCCCATCAAGCCTACTCAAATATTCAATATGATCATAGCTGATCTTCTATTTCAGTGCCATATTCCTGCTTACTCTTCATACCTCTTGATGCCTTTAGTATCTAAAAATAAACTATCAGTCTCTTTCTTGAATATACTCATATTTTCAAGGTTCAGATACTGACATACAGCCAATGTACATGCGCCAGCAATATCTTCTTAGGGGTTCGCACAAAAACCAGGACAGCAATTCTATGGGCTATATGGTCATTTGGCTGCTGTCCAAGAGTCAAACTAAATATACTTGACTTTTCAAACCTTTCCATTTATAGTGGCCCTTTATATTCAATCACCCTCTTAACTGACAAAGAGCCTATGGCAGATGCATTTTAGTTCATTCAATTAATTTAAATTGGATATTACCACAAAATTTGCACAGTCCTTGGACTATATTCTTTATGTAGTTGCAGCACACATTGCACACTGACCTCCCACTAACATCATATGAAAATTACTTCAACTTTCTTATTACAAGCTACATAATTAAAAACTGCATAGCTTTCTTATAAACTGTATTCATACTTGCTCACTGCTTTCAATGTTGGATGCCTGGGTCCCACAAATGTGGTTTCCCCCCCTTGCCCAACACAGCTAAAGATTCCAACCTTTTCACCTGATAGAGGTCTGTGAGTAACTTACTGATAGCTTTAAGTTGTGTCTCTTAAGTGGCCATAGATTGATACGTCAGGGGGTGAAAAGGTGAGTGCCTAGAAAGCCATCCATTGGATTTTCCATGCCACCCCTGGCTCCCGCAACATAGAGGTAAAATCCAGATTAATATAGTGGTTGTGGTAGGACTGCAATGCAGATTCACAGAATTCAACGAATGGGTGAATTTATATTCCCTAGCATATGAAATATGAAGTGATTTGGCTGATTTTTGTTTTTAAGATTTTTCAAGGAATTAATATGGTAGATTGTGTGGGAGGCTGGGACAAGGGAACACATGTCTAGAATCACAGCCTGACCATTTAGGATAAAATATTTCTTCACAAAAACTGTGCAAGAAGAGTGAAACTCAAAATGTCAGAAAGCCTTAAGCTCTGCCTCAATTAATAATCAAATCTTAGATTGATTGATCTTTGTTCACCATGGACTTTGAAAGATATAGAGCCATAATGGTTAATTGATTTAGGAATCAAAACAGCCATGATGCTGTTTGGAACAGTGTATGGGGGAGAACACTTCCTATTCATAATTCTTGTAAAAAACCTGGGGTGGGATGGTTTGAGTATTATTAATTGTTTAACTGCTGGAAATGACAATCAGGTATTATGGCTGAAATAGTTTCAATGCAGGCCTAAATTTTGCAAGGTTGGATGAAAATCAGATTATCCAACTGTTAGGAGAATTTCTTTTATTCATTCAAGAGATGTGGGTGTCACTGCCTGGGCCGATAGCTATTGCTTGACCCTAGTTGCCCTTGCAAAAGTGGTGGTGACCAGCCTTCCTGAACCACTGCAGTCCGTGTGCTACAGGTAGACACAAAATGCTGTTAGGGAAGGAAGACACAGAAGGAACTCTGAAATCTAGAATAATGTCACCCAGTAAAAACTGCAGATTTAGGAGGGGATGGTTGGTTGTAATTACCTTTTGCCAATGAACTGTAAGCTCATTTGTGTGCCTGGTAGTGTGGGAAAAATCTGAAAGTGCAGCTGGTTACTCTATATGTTGTGGACTCCTTTGCAGCAAATTTTACCCTGACAAACTCGAATGTTAGCCTATCCAACAATCTGAGTTCTCTTTCAGACAAGGAGGATTCCAGGGGAGGCTGTAGAGTCAGATATGTCTGATCCCAATCTGAACAGAGAACCAATTTTAGGGTTCTCATTTCCAGACTCGAGGAAGGGGTGGGAGCTCGATAGGTGATCTGAGGAGCCATATGTTCCTAAAGAGGAACAAGTGTAAGGCATGTCCTTATCAAGAAGAGTCAACTCCCAAGATGGGAAGGGCAGATATAATTCAGGAGGCTGATGGTCCAATGCCAGCAAGGTGGTTGTGTCCAGTTTGTGTGGAGCTGATCTGATGGTGGAGTGCTTGTGGGACCAGGAAGAACGCTCATTCTGATGAAAGTTACATACTAAAAAAACAATTGGGGCTTGTAAATGTGGAAATACATGCACTACTAAACTCTTCTACAAAAGGACAACTACTTTCTACTGCCTGCACAGGACCATGCCTCTAATATTTGTTTCTTTAGCTGGTAGTGCCAGGAGCAACATAGTCAAACCAATTCAGATATTAATTCTCACCTTCTTACATTCTAGGGACTAGTAAATGGCAACTGGTGCCTTGTCTTCTGAGAGAAGTGAGGGAAATTGGAGGTGACATGGACAATGATGGTCATTCAAGGTTTGGGGCAGGAGGGCATCATAGCACCACCTGAATTTCCTTGATTCTGTTCCATCACCCATGGCATTGCAGAAGAAAACCAACCTCAAAGTCTTGAATTTTTGAACACTGATCAATAATCTCATCAATAATTTAACACAGTCCTTGCCATTTAACTGCCAAAAGAAACAAGTTTCAACACTTTTTTTTAAACGTGTCAGTCACATCTGCTGACAGAAAATTGAGCTAGACTTTATTTCCACAAATACTTCAGAAGTGAAGTATTGGCACAGTCAACTGACCTGGAAGTGAACTGCCCACAAAAATCAATCACTCTCAGTGGTGTAGATTTCTTCTTTTGTAATGTTGGTTTGAATCTGAGACAGAGTCACAGGAATCTTTAAAGAGCCACAGGGATCTTCAGTGATCCAGGTGCCATGGTGTTATGAAGCATGTTAAGCAGTGGTTTGGGCAAGTTCAGAACCAATAACATTATATTGGAACTGAAGCCACATGTAGACATTTAAAGGACAAAATGATCCAGAGGGGTCTGCCAGCGGTTGTTGTGGCAGCATTTAAAGTCATATTCCCCAGATTATTATCCTAGATCTCTTAATTATTAGTTCAGTGACATTACCACTATGCTACAAAAGTAAGTGACAGAGATAGAATGGGGATAGTTCATAATTAAGTTTAATAAATGTTGATGAGAATTCTAAATTGAAGGGGTTGTGTTACTGGAATCAGTATGTATTTATATCATAAGAATATTAGAATAAATGAATAAAAGAACTTAGGAAAGCAGGCATAGTATCATAACATCATTTAGAAAAAATAACATTTCTGATCTCATTTGGTAACATTGTGGACAAACTTTTGCAGGGATAGCAGATGCCCCATGCTAGGGCTAGAAGCAGGGGTAATTCAATTTTGGTGGGTGGCACTACCCAGTCTAGGAGAGAACTGCCAGTCCAAACAATGGGTCAGCAGATTAGCAGCTTCAGTAGCAGTACTGTTGGTGGTGGTCATTGCACGGGCGGCACCCACAGGATGAGGATGAGACGTGGGGTTGGTGAAGGGTTAACTGAAGGCAGGTAGCTCTATTGTCATGGAAGTGACTGTTTTGCTTCTGGGGACAGCACCTCCATAGACCATTGAGTATCTAAAGAGAAGGAATACTTTAATCCTCTGGAAGTCCACAGGGTTTATGTGATGATTTCCTGCAGTGACAAGCCCTTCTGATATTGGCCAAATACGTTTAGGACATGGGAAACTCATTCGTAACTCAATTGGTCCACCAGCAGGTGACAGATCTGCCACCCTTTCCACTGCTTGCAGAGTGACAAGGCAATGGGAGAATGTTGGTACCCTGGTGCCTTACTATTTCATTTTCCAAACTACTCATGCCACCAACTCATTGCTGACAGATCCAGAAATCTCTAGTCTGTGATACAAAGCACAGTTTGATTTAATGTTATTTCTTTTCATAACTCCAAAATATCTTAGTGGCAAATGGATTGAAAGATGTATTGACAATTGTCTGAAGAATTGATTTTTGGAAATTAAATTTGATTTAAACACAAATTTTGGCTTTACAAACATTTCTATACCCTTAAGGACAAAGAAAACTAATTCAGTTTGAAGTGCACGATAATTATACACCTAAAAGGCCTTCATAAGCAGAAGAAATCATGTGATATGAAATGTTTTTCAATAAGTGCCCTATGCATCATTTTAACTGCACCCTCAAGTTATTAAAATGTAACACCAGTCCATTTTTGATTTCTTTTTGTCAGATAATCTACATGGGCTGGGTAGAAGACCGGGAGCCAGACTCATTGCAAGACAAACTATACACACCAAAGTATTTAGCTGTGAGAGGCTCTTGCCTATACAAATTTACAGCACCTCCGGTATGTAATATTGTTCAGTTTTGACTTATTCAATATACATTTTTAACATAATTTTGCAAGTTAAAAATATGTAGCCAATGTGTTTTATTGAGTATGATGAGGTACTACACTGACACATGCTGAATAATGTGAATTCAGTATTATGACCTGCATTTATACATTTTATCCTTTGCAGTCATGAAGGAGGAATAATTTATTTACCTTTTAACAAGTCTAAACTAAGCATAATTCTAATGCAGATGTAAATTGAGGCATGTCTTTATTCCAAGAGTAAATAATCAATCAAAAATGTACAACATAAATTTTAAATCAATGCAAATTTTACTGTTGGATAAATTAATTTTAGACTAAATAGTGCTAATGATCTTGTTGCCAATTATTATTGCCGCTGAGCTTGCTACTGTAGTCAGTAGTATTGAAAAACTGAATTCAGCTAGAGTGTAATCACTAGGCCTACCCTTCGAACACTATTGTTTCATGAACAGAACTATTGCATAGCCATAGTTCATGAAAGCCTATCGCAATGCTTTAGTGTCCATTTGGCCCTTTGTGAATAACAACCTTTTATTTTACTATAAAGAACTTAACCTGTCATTAAGATTTTAATTGTTACATAGCTAATCCATATGTTGTCTCTACAACATAAGGGCAGATTGCAGCAAAGTGGCCAAAGATGTAATCAAGAAACTTTCCAACGTGTTATATCTGCTTTGTTGAAAAGCACCTCCAATTGCAAGATTTTCCTTCTGGGGAGTGTTATGGAATTGAGCTTATTAATCCTAGAAGTGGAGTGTAGGCATCCACAGAGGAGAGCACATGTTGACGCAGTCTGGGTAGAAGGCCTGCCTCAGTTCTCTGGGATTTTGCACCATTGTTCTTAAAAGATTTTTGACAATCTAGTCCCTCATGCTCCCTACCATCCTATAGCCCTTTATAATCTCCGTGGCAAACGCATAGCCATTTATGCAGTATCCACTGTGGGAAAACCTCAGGAGTCATAAGGAGATGAAATAAATTTCTAAAAATCTAATATATCTCCACTTTACAGAGCTAAAAGTGAAAAATCCACTGATAGAAACAGCAAAGATTTTAAATTTTCTCCAGTAGCTAATGTCTTAAACAAATTTCATCCATTGATAGGTGTTAAGCTGATAATCAGGCTGGGAACGTATACCAACATTTCCTGTAAATTTTGCGACTGCCTGCATGCTCAGTTGCTCCAACCTCTATATACGATAATTAGTGTCAGCACGCTGATCACAGCATTGATTTCTGGTTCTGGGAGTTGTTGCTACGCACAGACCTTGGAGGCTCACACAGCCAGAAATAAAATTATAGGGAGTGCTGAATCCCTGTTGAGATTATTTTAACTTTCAAAACTCAATGAGCATTCATTATAAATGGCCCTTAGATAAAGGTTAAGAATGAACTCTATTAAAGCTGGATAGCAGATGCTACAGTGCTGGATTATGAACCAAAGCAATCCAGCGGAGGTATTTCTTTCAAAATTACTGATAGTTTCTTTTAGCACGAGAGCTTCTTATGGTGCAGTGTTAGTACCCCTATCTCTGAGCCAGGAGGCCTGGGTTCAAATCCCACATGCTCCAGAGAAGTGTAATATCATCACTGAACATGTTGATTAGAAAATTGAAGAGCAGGAAATTTTAAAAAATGAACTTCCAATTGTGACAATTAAATAGAACTTATCTTTCTTTCTGGGGAATTTCCTCAATAAATTGGTGACTCCTACACTGCAATTAAAGGATCTTGCAGTGGAGGCTGTTTGAACTCAACAGCCCTTTCTTCTATGACTTAGTAAATACCTTGCAAGTAGAGTCATTTACAGCACAAAAGAAAGCCATTCAACTCATCAAGCCCAGTCTGCAGATTAATCCCCTTAGGCCTCCAGGTTTATTTCTTTCAAGTTCCTTTCCAATTTCCTTTGGAATCATTGGTTGTTTTCTAACTTTTTTCTGATCAACCTGTTCAAATATATTATTACATACCTCTGGAACAGGTGGAACTTGAATTCAGACCTCCTAGCTTAGAGATAGGGGCACTACTTTGTTGCTTTCAGAGTAGCAGTTGTTCCACGTTCCATCGACGATATCCTCTTTTTAGTTATAAATGAAATAAAATCTCCCATGCCCCATTCTTCATGTTGTTGCTCCTTTAATGCTGCCAAATATGTGATTTGTAAATATTTTCTGAAATTACAGCATATAAACAAAAGTTACCATATTAAATGAAACATGTTATTAATCCACCTATCAGGAATAATTCAAAATACAATCAGAATAATTTGAATGATAAACTAGTAATGATCCAGATTTGGTTGAAAGTTAGTAATCAAAGGTGAATGTCAGACAACTTTGCCAAAATGTGGTTTTCAATTCTATGGTTTATTAGCTGCTTCATTGGAAAAAGAAATAAAATTGTTTATGGTCTTTCTTCCCACAAAAAAATCTTCTTGTTTAGACTATTTCTAATATACTTATATTTTATTTTCTCTTTTGGTGAACTAAAAGTTAAAGGAAGGGATGCCAGTTCTGGAGAAGGAAATACTTCTCTAGGAAATACATAGCTTTACATAGATGCTTTACATCCATGATTTACGTAGACCTCTTGACTAAAATATCTTCAAGTTAAAAAAAATCACCGCAGATGCTGGAGTTTTTGAAATAAAGAAATTTGAAAGAAACATGTTTGGAGCAGGAGATATCGATGTTGAGGTTCGCAGTTCATATGGGTTCAGTATGATGGTCTGGATGGCCAAAGTCACAATTTGAGTATTTCCTCATGATCCACTTGTGCAGTAAGTTACCAAAAATTCCTTGGTCTGCCATCAAGCAGTTGAGAGTTGTATAAATTTTCTGTGCAAGTTTAAAACTTCGGACTTCAGCACATGGGTCACTTACCATGTTGCAGCTTGTGATTGTGGAATATTGCACAATCTTAGCATGTTACATTGCCTTTTCTGTTGCAAAGGTATAACTAAAGTTAGTTCAAAAGTGGCTACCTGATGTGAGTCCGCATCTTAATCTCAATTAGTGCAATTTATATAAGAGAGATGGTGATGATGCTGGGATGAAACTTTCTTTCTTATTTCATTTGGAAAATTGAGAACCGGAGAACTTTGGAACACATTTTTGGAACTGCTAACGTGGATTTTGATGACGTTTCAGCAATTTGAAAGATTGTTCTGTTTGCACCTTGTGTACAGGTACACATTGAGTCAGCACAATAGATAATTGAAGGAAAATGGCTTTGAAAGTGTATTTAGAAACAACGGATTTCAACTCTTAGAAAGTGGGTTGTGCTCTAGATAGACCCACGATGCTCTGAGGGAGAGAGTTCCAGGATTTTGACCCAGTGGCAATAAAGTAATGCCGATATATTTAGAAGTCGGGATGGTAAATAACCTGGAGGAGAACTTGCAGGCAATAGTGTTTTCATGTATCTGCTGCCTTTGTCTTTCCAGATGGAAATTGTTGTGGGTTTGGAACGTGGTGTCTAAGGATCTTTGGTGAATTTCAACAGTGCATCGTATTGATAGTCCCCACCACTGTTACTAAGCATAGCTAATGGAAGGAGTGGATGTTTGTTGATTGGTACCGATGAAGCAGGCTCCTTTGTCCTGAATGATCTCAAGCTTCTTGAATGTTGTTGGAGCTACACCCACCTAAGCAAGTGAGGAGTATTCCTTCACATTCTTGGCTTTTGCTTTGTAGATGGTGGAAGAGTCAGGAGAGTCAGGAGGTGAGTTACTCGCTGCAGTACTCCTAGCCTCTGACCTGTTCTTGTAGTCACTGTAATTATATGGTAAATCCAGTTGAGTTTCTGGTCAATCGTAACCCCAATGAGATTGATAGTGGAGGATTCAGGGATGGTAATGTCATTGAATAACATGGAGCAATTGTTAGGTTGTCTCTTATTGGTCATTGCCTGGCATTTGTGTGGAGAAAATGCGACTTGCCACTTGCAAGCCTCATTGCATTTGGGCATGGACTGCTTCAGTATATGAGGAGTCACGAGTGGTGCTGAATATTGAGGAGTCATCAGCAAACATCCTCACTTAGGACGTTATAATGGAGGGAATGACATTGACGAAGCAGCTAGAAATGATTGGGCCTTGGACGCTACCCTGAGGAACTCCTGCAGAGATGACTGGAGCTGAGATGACTGACCTCCAACAACTACAATCATTTTCCTATGTGCTAAGTTTGACTCCAAATCCAATTCTCCAAGCGGAGAATTTTCCTTTGATTCCCAATGGTTACAGTTTTCATAAGACTTCTTCATGCCCCATTTGGTCAGATGTGACTTTGATGTTAAAGGCAGTCACTCTCACCTCACCTCTGGAATTCAGCTTTTTTGTCCATGTTTGAAGCAAGGCTAAAATGAGGTCAGGAGCTTTGAGACCCTGGCAGAACACATACTGGGCACCAGTGAGAAGGCTATTGCTGAGCAGATGCAACTTGATAGCACTGTTGATGACACCTTCCATCACTTTACTGACGCTTGAGAGTAAACTAATGGGGTAGTAATTGGTTGTGTTGGATTCATCCTGCTTTGTGTGTCCAGGACATTCCTGGGAAATTTTCCACATTGTCAGGTAGATGCCAATGTTGTATTGGTATTGGAAGAAGACAAATGAAAGTTTTCACATTTAGCTGGAAGTTAGTAAAGTAGGAGATGAGGATAAAGTAGATGATTTCTCATTATATTAAGAGTGGGTATTTTTGACGCAGTTTTTGAAACACCCGAGTTCTATGGAATATGCTGATGTTCATGAAACTCGGAACTTTTATAATGGCACAATAATAAAATTGCACTGAAAGTTATGTTTCGAGAAAGGAAAAGGATGCTAAATGACACTGTTGCAGAAAGGAAAAGGGTGCTAAATGACACTGTTGCAGATTTTATTCTTGGATTTAAGAAACTCACCTTGCTGTAGGTAAGGCATAAATTTGAAATCAGCCTTGGAGACACCTTCTTATAAAATTCCTATAGTTCGCATTTTTTGATCAATGACAATAATTTGACATGGAAGGCAGCCTCTAATGTAGCTACAGTGATAAAAATGATAGGAAGAGATAGTTGTAATGATATTCTCTCATAATATCCTTTTTTTCTTGTCCTAAACAAGTCTGTGTTCTGTGAGAATGTGATGATTATAAGTCAAATAGTTCCACAGGTTGCTAGATGTTAACATTTAGTTTTGCTTTACAATAATGCCAGGGCTTATTGCAAGTTTTTTTAACAGGTCACTTAAGACAGCTTTGGGGTCATAGAAGAGCAGTTCAAAAGATTGCAGACAGGAACTGAAGGTTAGTGAGTTGAAGAAACAGAAACAGCATTAGACTCTATATTAGGCAGTGCTGCTGTTAGCTTGCTGCTAAAGTCACCTGAACAATGCAAGCTCTGTGTCATTGCAGTACTCGGTGATTTCATGCAGCAGGTCAGTAGCTCTGGGTTTCAGGGTCAGGAATGTTCTGGAAGCTATGCGGACTCAGAAGAATCTTTGTGCACTAATAAGTCAACTTGGCTGAGAGTTGAGGGTTGAAAAACCACAAGCTATATTTGCTTGTTACAATTGAGCAAACTTAGAGCTCAGGGAGAACCTAGGGTAGCTTTGAACATGAAGTAAGCTGTCAGTGAAAAGTTGGAGTTATGTCTCTGAAAAAGTACTGGGGTGCAGATTTCAGAGTTCATGGTGCATGGACCCAGGGCAGGGAAGTAATGGACCAGAATAGGAGCAGTTGTTGAGACAGCCTGTCACTGAGTGGCTTTTGAGAGGTAGTCTCAAACCCAATTTGGCAAATGTAGAAAAATGTGATCTGTTGTGAAGTTTAATGAAATTTGGTGACCAACTGTGTCATTAATGTCTGAGAGCAGTTTCTGAGATTGCTATAGGATCTGTCTTAATTGCATTTGATATTTTTACATGTGCTGTGTTGGGGTACTCAATAACAGTATATTACTTATTTTGACCACTTGTTAATTCTGGGTATTAGAAATACATTGTTCATGTTTTGTAGATTCAATTACTGGTCTAAATTATATAGCAGAGTCTTGTGTTTTTTTGTTAAAAATCATGGTTTATTCTCGTAGTTAGTCCTTTGAATCTCATGTTTTATATATCTCTAACCAGTTTAGGATCATAGGATAAATGTGCCGATTTGGTCTGAGATCATAATACAAGGCTGAATTTTCCTATATTCAAGAATAGTGTGTTTTCCAGTGAGAGTCATGACAATCCATCAGCGAAGGACACCTCTTTTTACAGCCAGACTTTTATTCTTCACCTCATCAATTGTGTATTCAGGATCCACAGTGCCCATCTCATTGAATTGCACAGGATGAGAAGTAGAAGTGCTCATCACTGCTTGGACCTTCTGGCATTCATATTGCTGGTGCCATATTTAACACTGGGAGTGAGATAAAGTGAAAAAAAAGATTTTGGAAAAAGATGTGAGAATTTATTTACGATTACAAAACCCTAAACTCACCACTGTTCGTAAATCATTTGATTTTGTTAAATTTTATCTTTCTGAACAAACAAAAATAAATTACATTTAATCTTTTGTTCAACATTCTATTGATTGTCACAAATGCTAATCTTGTTCAAGTCATGTTCTGTATTAAAGCTAAATGACCCAAATAATTAAATATCTAATTCATTTCTCAGGTGACCACATTGGATTGGACAAAAGCAGTGAGGAGTTACACAGTCTATGAAATTATGTGCAAAATTCTGAAGGTATGAGCAAGTAGACTGTGTTGGCATTTACAGTAGTGTACTGATGTGCTAATTTACTTACCAGCAAACATGACTCAGAACCATGTATAAAGCTGTGAAATTTCAGAATATTGCCAATGAGCTGTTTTAGTCTTTGAAGCTTCTGACATCTAGTGACAAGTGAGGCAGACAGGCCACATGCTTCTGTCTATTTCTGCAAAATATATTACCCTACAGTAGGTTCACCAGAGGCTATAGCTTGTAGGATACCACTGAACGGGCAGGGAAAATGGCGGAGAGGATAGGATAGCCTTACTGATAAGAAACAAAATCACTTCAATATGGAGAGGAGATATAATGAAGGAAAAGCTTCCAGTGGAGACCTTATGGGTAGAACTGAGGAAATGTAAAGGATGTAAAACTGTAATAGGTGTTGTGTATCAACCCATTTCTAGCTGCTGTGAAGTGCTAGATTGTATAAATGCAGAAATTCAATAAATGTGTGGCAAAAACAGTAGCATCAATAGGCAATTTTAAATTTAACAGAGATTTGGAGAGGCCGATAAACACCTGTCAAAAAGGCAGTGAATTTCTGGAGTGTGTCCAGGACAGTTTCCCACAACAATATGCCCTGGCTGCAACAAGGGGACAAGTAATATTGAATTTAGTAATGAGTGGGATTTAATTAGTAATCTGATTGTGTGTGAACATTTATCAACTAGTGATAGTAACATTCTGGAGTTCAATGTAGCATTTGTCACTGGAATTTCAGGTTTAGGTAATGAGATGAGACAAGACAGTCTGTAGTAAAATGAGTAAAACAGGTGAAGAATAAAAGAGGATGTTTAAAGAAACATTTAATGCAATACAGAACCAGTTTAGACACCTGAAAAGGGAGAGCTCCACTTCAGCCATTAACAACTAAAGATATAAGGGACAGCATAAAACTAGAAGAAAGGACTTACAAAATTGCAAAAAAGGGCAGAGATCCTGCTGAATGACAAAGACACAAAGACCAGCAAAGGGTCACAAAGCAGATTATAAGAGCTACTAAAAGGGATTATGAAAGGAAACTTCCAGGGGACATCAAATTGATAATTAGAAATTTTATAGCTACAAAAAGAGAAAGCAAGTGGTCGTAGCAATTTTGGCCCAGTAAAGACAGAAAGTGACGATATTGTTAGTACCTTTGGGGAAGTGGCAGACAAAATGAATAATAACATTGCCTCAGTATTTGCAGTAGAAAAAGAAGCTAGCTTGCCAGAAATACGGACAAAATTAATCATGGATCGAGGACTAAATAAAATGAAAATAAGTAAAACAACGATAATGATGAAATAAATGCAATTAAAACATAACAATCCGCAGGACATGGTAGTTTCCATCTGAGGGTGTTAAAGGAAATATTGTAGATGCCTTCATGATAATCTTTTGGAGTTTCCCAGGTTCGGGAGTCATCTCTTTGGATTGGAAAACTGAACAGTCACTCTGCTTTTTAAGAAGGACGGAAGAGGAAAACCAGGAAATTACAGACCAGTTAGACAAACATCTGTGGTGGGGAAATTGTTGGAGTCTATAATCAACGATAGGGTAACTGAACACATCAAAAATTTTCAGTTAATCAGGGACAGCCAGGATGGATTCATGACAGGTAGTTCATGTCTGACAAACCCCATTGAATTTTTTGACGAAAGTTATGGACAGGGATATTGATGGTCTGTGGATATTGTTTATTGAAGAAGACCTTTGATAAAGGACCACATAAGAGGTTTTTAAGTCAGGTAGAAGCCCACAGAATTGAAAGCAAATTACTGACATGATTGGAAAATTGGTTGAGTGCAGATGACAAAGTAGGGATAATGGCTAGATACTCAAATTGACAGGATGTTACTAGTGATATCCCACAAGGATCTGTGTTAAGTCCTCAATTATTCACCTTATTTATTAATTACTTGGATAATGGGATAGAAAATTATGTATCCAAATTTGCTGATGACATAAAGTTAGGCAGCATTATAGACAATGTAGATTATAGCATAAAATTACAAAGGGATATTGATAGACTAAGTGAATGGGCATAACTGTGGCAGATGGATTTCAATGTAACCAAACGTGAGATTGTCTATTTTGGACTGTATTTCCTAGATGGTTTGAATTTGAATACACGGGATGTCCAAAGACACTTGGGAGTTCATGTGCATAGATCTTTAAAATGCCACAAACAGGTGTGAAAAATAACAGCCGTTATATCTAGAGGACTGGAGTATAAGGATGCAGAAGTTATGCTGCAGTTATACAAGACTCTGGTTAGACCCCACTTAGAGTACTGTGAGCACACCTGTGCACCACACCTTAGGAAGGTTATATTGTCCTTGGAGGGAGTACAATGTAGGTTTGCAAAAATGATACCTGGACTACATGGGTTAAGTTCTAAGGAGTGGTCATACAAATTAAGCCTATTTTCTCTGGAATTTATAAGATCCAGGAGTGTTCATGTTGAAGTCTTCAAGATATTAGCAGGGAAAGACAGGGTAGATAAAGATAATTTATTTCCATAGTTTGAAGATTCTAAAACTAGGGGGCATAGTCTAAAAAGTAAGGCCAAACTGTTTGAAGTAGATATTAGGAAGCACTTCTGTGCACAAAAGGTGGTAGAGGTTTGGAACTCTGATACACAAGTGGCAGTTGATGCTAGATCAGTTGTTCATTTTAAATCTGAGAAAGGTTTCTTTTTGTTAATCAAAGTTATTAAGGGATAAGGTCCATAGAGAGGTATATGGAGTTAGTCTACAGATTAGCATTGATCTCTTTGAATGGCACAACAAGCTGAAGGGGCTGAATGGTGTATTCCTGTTTCTTCGTTCATTTGTTCCTCTGTCCTATGTTCACAATAAGAATGGCTGACCAGGAAACTGGCCAGTTCTTATCGCCTGTCATAGGAGTATTGGAAAGATTTACAGGTTGATAATTTCTGTGGTCATGAAGTCATGGAGTTGGGACTGAAACCGAGAGCTTCTGGATCAGAAGCAGAGGCAATATCCTCTGCATGACAAGATCTTCTCTCCAGCTGTCATTGCTGCTTCAAGTATTACCTTATTCAATTTATTTAATAGGCTGAAGGAAATCTGAGTGCTCAGAAATGAATTCCTTACTGTATGTTGCTGATGTTAAGTATTTGTACATTCATATTCAAAAGCTTCATTTTTAAATTTTACTTGCTTAGACTCTGTTTTGTCAAAGGTGAAACATGAGCAGCAATTGAAAGGCAGAGTTTGATGTATTTTATTTAGCTTTTGTGCAGTATAGGAATGTTCTGAAAGACAGTGCTTCGTAGCTTTAAAACAGTTTTGTAAGTGAACTGACTGATTGCATTAATCTTCTATTAGTGGAATTCCTTTACACTTCTTTTCACTTTTAAAATTAGCAATTTTTCCACTTCAACGGATTTACTGTATTATAAAGTAGTGAAAATCTTTTGTGTAAATGTGTCTTTTATCACCACATCTAAGAGTCTTTGAGAGACAAAGTCAAGTTGCAGGCATGTGGTCATCAGGAAACTACAGCTCAAAGAAGTATTTTGTGCATTTTTGTTTATTAAAGAGAAAATAAGTATTTGCAGAAAATCACTATCATCGTATCTTGCCACTGTTCCATTTGGAGACTCCTGAATTTCTGGGACTCATCTCTGCAAGCCTGCTGTTGCTCATTTAGCGGACATTTATAATGGCTAGTATTATGGAGGTGGCTTTGAGGTACAAAGCACATGGAGTTTTGAGGCTGTTTTGTCGCATGAAAATGTGACTTTGCAACTCTGTGGACAGTAATTGTAATGATGGACAAGTTTCTAACTTATGGCAGAGAGAATTTCTGTTCTGCATATTAACCATTGACTTTCTTTTCTGCAAGTAACGACAATAAAATAAAACAATTCCGATGACAACCCATGGATGTGGGAAAATCTTGACAGTGCAACCCGGGAAAATATTTGCATACTGAATTTGATTCAAATTGTTATTGTTCATTTTACACTACATTTAACTTCAGCTGGAACAAACAGATTCACCGGAGATCTCCCCCACAGCTGCCCAGTGCCATGATTAACCATTAGATTTACTTTCTCACTTTCGTTTGGCAAAACTTCCACAGAAGTTTATTAAAGTTAAACTTACATTTAATGTTAATTTAACATGAAGCTTAATTGAATACATTTTCTAAATTGTATAATTACCTAAAATAAGAAGCTGCGTAAATCACATTTTTAAAAAAACTATTAAAATCCACAAATCATGCATTCTATATACTAGAAATGATGCCTACTAACGATGATGGACAGTGCAAAATTACACAGTATTGCTTACATGGAAAAACATGGTTTTGTCCATCCAGGCCATATTGCTATTTCTGCATGAGCAGGAAACTTTCCTGTGCCTATCCTGTACTTTTGCTTCTCATGATGCTCTTTATCCTTACTTCTTTCAAGACATTGTTAGCCTATTCCTAAATTTTCAACTACCTGCTTCGATGGGAATCAGTGGTTCAAAATGAGATGAAGGTATTAGGACATCAACTTTCCCTGGCAAGCCTGCAAATGGACAAGCAGCAAACCCAACTATTGCAACTACAATAGAGATAACAAGGTGAAGAGCTGGATGAACACAGCAGGCCAAGCAGCATCAGAGGAGCAGGAA